AAGGATAAGCTGACTGTAACACAAATAGGCCTATTCTACTTCTGATGAGAAAGACAAGAAGGAGAAAAAAGAGAGGAGGAGGGGAAAGAAGTCTGGAATAGAAGACAAGAAAGAGACGAATGAAGCCAGAGAAAATGGGGGGTATAGCCTGCCCCCAAAGAATGGAATCAGTGTCTTAAACCAAAAATTGGCAGTGAGGCTATATAAAAGAATTGAGTGGCGGGGTGAATTCAAGAAGTTACTTCAGAGCTGACCAGAGCAAGAACTGCCTGCAAACCTGGAAAGCACAGGAAACTGACAGTGGTGACACTGACTGAGAAAAGAGACGCAGAGTGATTGGCATATAAGTGCAGAGAATGCACCAGTGCACTCAGAAAGATGCAAAGTGCTCATCTTCAGGCCCTTTAGGAGCCACAACCCAGGCCAAAGGTGTTATGCTTGGGAAAGGCTGACTAGGGGAAATGACTCTTCTAAGAGCCTGATTCACTTCCAACCTTTCTTAGAGCAGGTAACTCACTTGGAACTATCCATGGTGCTGCAACTTCTGGCCTGCCTTGACCCACTGGGAACCTGAAACAGATGAACCAAAAAAATCACCTTTCCTTTTAACCTGCAGTTCACATATACATCCGAATGCTCTCAAATGCTTGAGGGAGCTCACAAAATTTCCCCTTCCTTCCCCAGTGCCCAGAAAATTTCCTTGAATCATTGAAAGACAGAAATAGTTAGACCTCAGAGGGATCATTCCACCCTGCTGAGGGTTAGCATTACAAGTCGCAGAACCTCCAGTGGAAACAGTGAAAATATGCCAACTGGACTGGCAATTGAATCTTATTTCAATACTGCCAATGGGAGGGTGTCTTCTTCCACATCTGATGGCAGGAAGCTAGCTGAGGGACTGCAGGGTAGGCTGTGTGAGGCACACACTGTTTGTTCCCTCAACACCATATTGCCACTCCCTATCCCCAACATCATCTGCTTGAGGTGGCTGTCTCACTCTGACTAATGGTAGGGACAGCAGTGCCCCTTCTCAGACATGCAGTTTCTACTGACACACTGGTATATGCAGTCTTCAGAATGGGATAAATGAATGAGACATTCTCCCCCCTGCCCCCCAAAAAAGTCACTGTGATTCATACAGCTCAATTTCCAATATGCTCTCAACATTCTTCACTGTCCAGTTTATAATGACTTAAAACTCATTCTATTGAGCCTACACCAGTGTCAGGTGGTCTCAAGATTGTCTGATAAAGTCAGGTCAGATTATTCCTTTGGGAAAACTAGGTTATCAGTGTTACACTAATATGTATGGGTAGGGCACTTTAAAAACATATTTGGGTTGTTAATTTATTTATCCCCTTATAATTTACTAAGAGTTACATTAAAGATTCATTCTGGTGGACAGGGAGTGAACTGATTAAGTTCATTTATGCAGGTTTATACCCTCATTGTCATTGTCTCCCTCCCCCTTCTTGCAGTAATTTGTCGAAAGCTTGTTGTTAGGTGATATGTAACCTTTAATTCAGCTATTGTTAGCACTTTTGTATGCCAGTGAAGGGTTCTGAAATTTTCAGTAGGATGTGCTCTCCTAATAGGGAAACTTAATTATTCCCCTAGTACTTCAAAACTATCATTGACATCTGAGTTATATGCATTTCATATCTACTGCGTAACCTTCAGCTCCCAGTCAACAAGGTTGCCTTGCTGTACGTCTTTCGGCCAGAACAAGCTATTTGTGGTAGCTCTATCCTTATTCTTAGTACAATGGTGATTATTATTAAAGGCCTTGTTTGAGATTTAAAAAGGCTATGTGCATAAAATTCACATTTGCACTTTTTCTGTTCCTACCTCTTTCTGTTGATTACTCATTTTATTCATAAAGGCAATTTAATTATATTGGGTTTTGTTTACAAAGTAAAGGGCAACTCTTCATCTACTCTTAGAGCTTTAGGGAAATTTATTACTTTTTTAAAGTCTGTGGCTAATCAGATTATTAAATTATTAGTAGTAGTACTAGTTGTATACCAACCAATGAGAGTATGAGCAAGACTTGAGAAGTCTATCATCATCCCACATATATTTTCCAGCTGAAAAAAAGTCCCATGGCACCTCCAAAATCTATTTGTTTCATAAAGTGTATACACAATTAGTTGCAAAAAGAACCTCGAAGCGGTTCACAAAAAAACAATAAAATTATCAATAAAAAGAAATAACAACAGTAGTTCAAAAAAATGTTTTTTAATTAAATTCAACAATACACTAAAAACAGATTAAAATTCACACCAACTTTCTAAATATCTGGGTAAATTTCAGGTACTGGAAAGAGTACAGTAAAGGTGGCTGCCTAATAATAATAATAATATATTTATGCCCCGTCCATCTGGCAAGGAGTTCCAAAGTGTAGGTGCTGCCACATTAGGAGATCAAGTTCTTGCAAACTGTGCTTATTGCAGCATAAGCTTTTGTGGCTAGACCTTGTGTTATTGGTTACACCCCCAAAATGACCTCTAGCACACAAAAGACCATGCCACAACCTGTGTGCTAGTCTTGAAGGTTCCAAAGGACACTTTCCCTAGTTTTGCTCCAACACACTTAACAAGACTCCCACCCAACCACCATTTCTTGGAGAGATGATACATTGAATCTCAGTAAAAGTGAGTGTGTGCTAAGCTGGGCATAGGTTCAGCTCCCCGATTCATCACTGCCCATGTCAAAACCCTGCCCTTTAAAAAAAGAAGTAGGAGTGGTGGGATGGGTATCCACACCTGGCACTCTTCAATCATTCTTTTAAAAATGTTCAACTTTGAGAAAGTAGGAAATGCAGGGAAAATACAGGGTGGCAATAGGTGGGTGCCCCGTACAAAGTTAGTGCACAAAGCATGGCAATTCCATATCAGGCACCTTGTTATCAAAGGCCGTCTTTTCTTTCCTGCAGTGCAATTTCTAGTGTGGTAGCTTTGTCAACATAATGCTAGACTTTGGCCTGATACAAAAAGACATATTTTCTGTTCCTTGATTGCAGGTGAATGAGCCTGCACCAGGTACCACCAACCAGGAAATGCGCTGCTGAAAATTAGGCTTGAGAAAGTGCCAGCAGCTTCGCCATGTGGTGCAGAAGGGATGAAATGCAGTGAAACATTTAAAATTCATTTAATGGGAATATAGCTAAGGAGGAAGGTGGGAGGAGGATATGGAAGAGATCACAGTATTAAAAAAAATATTACTTTTCTCAGCCCTCTACCAATCCAGAGCTTAATTTGTGCTGGAGCTTGCTGAAGCTAAGCCCCAGAATCTGTTCTCAATACTGTGAAGGACTCTTCAAATATATGATTTAATGTACCTCTGAGTTTATACAGAGTACTTACTTCCAGTAACCTCCACACACTTTGGATTAAGAAACAGCATTCCAGGGCAGATGGCGTAGCTTCCAGGCTGGCTTCAATCCCTGGCATGTCACTTTTAAGAAGTTTAAGAAGCACTTCTCCAATCTTAATCTAGCCCCAGTTGCCTCCTTGCCATCCTGCTGGAGTAACAGAAATGGACTATCTGATTTGATTGTAGTCAAAGTTACTAAAGCAGATGAAACAACATCAAAGTTGCTGAAGGACATTATTCGTAGTCCAAGGGTGCATGCTTGTATCCAAACATTTAGCAAAGGAAATGGATGCTCACGTTTGATTCACAAATTTAAAGGGCAATGCTTAGTTCATCTCTGCTTAGATATTGCAAACAACTTAATGCCAAACACATCCCTAAGTGTTTGCAGAATTTATTAAGCCTTAATGCATTTCAGAGGAAACTGATGTTTCTTCTTTCAGAGATTATAGGTCCTGTTAGCGAATTTTGAGACTGCACTAGGAGTTTTAAACTTCACTTTGTGATTTATTATTTACTTCAGTTTTTGTATGCATCTCGGGTCAAAAGGGACTATCATAGTTTAATTGTCTGAGAGATATTTTTATAACATTTTTCTAGCATATATTAATCTATCAGTAACAATGCTAACAATAGCAACTAAAGCAATTCTCAGTGCTTCACTTATTCATCAGTCAGAGGAGCTGTTTAATGCAATCATGATGCTGTGCTGGAGATTTATAGATCTAAATGCAAGTCAGACACATTTATTCTTACTCCTCATTCAACAGAATTTGACTGTTCTTACAGCTCTTCTTACTTGAAAGCATGAAGTTATGCAACATGTTGTGCTACCAGGGATCTGTTTACCTTGGAACATGATGAGGCACAGCGCTTGAGCATCATTCCTGTAACTGCAGTACAAGCTTGTAACATGGGCTCCTTTCCTCTTCTCCCACAAAAGGCCTTGTTTGTTCTGTAAAAAATAGAGGGTTGACTGCTGTCCTTTAGGTGCCTATGTTCAAACTCTTTGCATTTCTGGCTTCCTAAGTTGTATTTAGTGCATAATTGCAGTATGATATATTCGCTTCTTAATTACATACGGCCGGCAAATGCCTTTTAGACACAGCTTCCTGTCCCCAAGACTTAGTGTCAGTGCTTCTATGCATGCTGAAAACCAGGTCTACCTCCTGTTCTCACATATGTTTAGTGGCCTGTGTTTTTTGAGAGAGCAGGGTATGGCACACAGAGAGAGACCTGCCGCCCTGTATCTCAAACTACAGTTCCCTGTACAAACCATCAGTTTTAAGGTGGCCAAGTGTCCTCCTGCATGGAAGAAGATAGGCCTCCATTTCAATAGCTTCTGACCCAACGTCAGTTCAAGATGAAGAAACAGAAGAAGGGAGAACAGGGGCCTCACAGTTGCTCATTTGTAGCACCTGGGCAGCAGACTGAGCAGGGGCTTTTTAAATTTATTTTAACTAAATGTGGGGAACCTGTGCTCTCCTCAGATGTTTCTGTTATCCTAATGGGAGTTGTCAGTCAGCAACACCTGAAGGGCCAACAATCCCCTGCACCTGATTTAAATTTCAGTTCCCCACCCTAAATTTTGAATTACCTAGCCATCTCACTCTTTTCATATCCAGATGCAGATACCATCTCATCAGAAGGTCCATTCCATTCCGTCCAGTGAAGGAATCGTGCTTAGTTCTCCCTTTGCAACACTTACCTGGGCCATGATGTCAGATTCACAACATTCAGTGTTCTATGCCCACAGCAGCCAGTGATACAGAGCAAGGACAGGGAAGTGAGGTCACAACACAAG